TTAAAAATAAATATAACCCTTTTGATGCATACATTATGTATAATACTTTTAAAAAGTCACATTACTGTATTTTCTTTTCTTAGTAACATAGTTCCTGTTTTACATTGGAGAAAACTGAGATCACAGCTCATTCCAGGCCAGAGCTAGAAAAGTGAGGAATTTGGACCCAAGCAACTTAATTTCAGGGTTTTTGCTCTAAGCAGCTACAGTATAACCTTAAATGGCTAAATAATATTTTGTTGAACAGAACAGATCCATCAAATATATTAATCAGTCTCTTAATTTTGGAAATAGCTATTTTGATAAGTTTTACTAGTATTTGTTACATTGTGTGATCCTAACTTACATATGTACTGGAGGGTTTTTTAAATACAGAAAGGAGGATTGACTCCATGAGCCTTGTGCATGTTAAGAAAATGCTCCACCTCTGAGCTATATAGCCTTAGTCCTACACTGAAGTTCTTTTAAGTCAAAAATTTTCAAAATGCGGTTACTGAGTTAAATAGCTTGCTGTTGATAGATTTCCAAAACTTTGTTGATAGATTTCACCAATAATATACACAGGTTTTTTCTTCCCTCTTCTGAAACCGTTGGTTATTATTTGTTTTAAACATTTTTCAGTTAGGGGAAATAGAATGTCAATGTCACAGTTATTCTCTGATTACTAACCAGGCAGAGTGTTTTTCATAGATGTATTTACCTCTTAACAGATTTTTCTTTTATTCACCTGTTTGTGTCATTAGAATCTACTTTTTAATATAAAATTTTAATTGACATTTACACATAGAAAAGACTACAAATTGTAAGTTAGAGCTCTGTGAAGTTTCACAAAGTGAACACATGCACTGTTGCATCAGGATTTAAAATAAGAATGTGAACAGCATATGGGAAATCAGTTTGCATCCCCATGTGCTTCTTGAACATTTCACCTAAGAGGGTGACTACCATGCCGGGCATTCCTGTGGGGCCACAGTACACTCCCCCAATGGGCTTTTGCCCCTGGTTCTTGGGTGGAGGGAGAAAATCTTATTCTATTTACATCTAAAGTACAGATGTCTATGTACTACATAAGAAGAGCGTCTGTGTAACACTAACATTTTATAGAGTAGGATGAAGAAAATTTGGAAATGCTGCACTGTGTTAACTGTTTGCCCATTTTGAACTTTAAAAAAACTTGACTCTCTTCATGAATGATTTTTTTCTTGCTGATTTTGAGTTATCATGGCCTAAGAATATGAACACACATCCTAAATTTTTTTTTCTAATTTTCTCTTTGTTGGAATCCCCATAGCATTTCCTTACATATTATTTTTTTCTTATATGATCTTAACTTATAATTTCTTGTCTTTAATAGCGTTTATGTTTGTCAAATTTTGGGATCAAGATTATGCTAGTTTTGTGGATGTTGGCTGTGCCTGCTTATCAGAATAACCTCCATGGCATAAAAAAATACAGATGCTTCAGTTCTTAATGTCTCAGAAATTATTAGCCTTTAATAACTTTCTGTTTTTAATATGAATTTAAAATACTTTTGCTTTCCTTGTATCCCTGTGTTGATTGCTTGGTTTGCTAACTTTAATTTTTGCTGTCAAATAAAATAAGACTATATATTATATTTTCCTCCAAGCACACAGCTAGCTGCAGCCTATTCTCAAAATTGTTCTCTCTCTTCTTTTTACACAGTAGAATTATATCCATCCATTAAGAAGAGTGAAACTACATCATTTGCAGGAATATGCATCGAAGTAGTGAACACTAAGTGAAATAAGATGATCTCATGAAGCCAAGTATCACATAGTCCTTCAGGTTTACCAATGATTTAGTAAATGACAGAATTTCCTTATCATTATTGATGAATACAATTCCATTGTGTGCATATGACACACTCTCTTTACCCATTCATCTGTTAATTGGCACTAGGTTGGAGCTATGTCTTTGTTCCTGTGAATATGGCTGCAATAACCATAGAGGAAATAGCACTTTGACACATTGCATTTCCTTTATGTACACACAGTCATGGAATGACAGCATTGTATAGTACGTTTATTTCTCGACTTTTAAAAGAAAAAAATTTTTTCTTTTAGAAATACTGTTTTCTTTTCAGAAGTACTGTTTTTCCATAAGGGTTTCACTAGTTTATATTCTCTGTAACAATTTACAAGCATTCCTTGTTCTCTACAGTTTCTGATCTTTCATCTTTTTTGTAATAGGTATTGTAACAGGAATGAAGTATCACCTCCTTGTATTGTAAGCATAAGTAGAAGTTAAGACCCTATTGCTGAAGACTGTGGTTGCAGGAGACAGAGAAATCAAACTGACCAGGAAACACTCTCCCTGTTGGCAAACTTACACAGTGCCAGAAAGTACTATGCAGTCGGCTGGAGTAGGGTGAGGTAGAAAGGCCTCAATGGTTTTACACAGCACAGGACTCTGCATGTTACAATATCAACCTGCTGGCAAGATGTGCCCATTGGTGCAATAGTGACATGATGATTATGGGGATAACCAACTGCATTCTGATTAGATATAACATCTGCTCCACAGGAGGGATTTCATGCCTAGTTCTGTAAACCTGGTCAAAAGCCCATGACTGTGGAGACCATAGCTCTGGAGAGGGAGAGTGGGGGGAAACCTACTGTCTTTAACTATAAGGATCCTAAATTACATTTGTCTAGGGATATAGTAGAGGTAGGGTTTTCTCTAGGACCTATGACCTCTCTAGCCATGTGTATTTGGCTGTGTTTACAGCGAGTTCCCTTCTACTGAGAGGGCTTTAAGTCCAATTAGGTAACTGTTGATCACCCCCAAGATAAAAGTATCACTACTGGACTGATATAGTTTGTTGTGCCAGTCATTGCTGTTGTTAATAGACTTTAAAGCTGGAGTTTGGAATATTGATTGATTTTTCTCCCTTACCAGCTTGGATAGCATCCTCTAGAACTATGAGATTTAGTCTTTGGGGAGGAAGTCAGTTCCCACTCCATTGCTCCAAATCCTGTGCCTGAAGTATGTTCTATCTTCAGCAATAGAGTCTTACCTTCAAGTTCTGGGAGATAATCAAGGACTGAAGCAATAGCCTGTGTTGTTTTAGGAGTTGCCGGGACTACCCTGACCAACAACTTGGAATTTTTCTCCTGTTTGGCACTCTGTTTCTTGTTATATATCCTTGAAGTATACCCATGCACACATGTTCAGATATTGTATGTATATTTTTCAGAAGGTTTTTGAGCTAATACATTTCCCTCTGGTTTTTCACACCACCTAAGTTTTATTTATTTTTCCCCTCTCTCTTTCTCTGTCTAACCTCCTTCATCCTTCCCCAGTTAAAGTAGCCCCAGTTTCCCCTTGAAAATGCCTGTCTCCTATTATCCACCCTCTCTTGAGTGCCTTCATTTTTACCCCCATGCTTCCATGTGTATTTCCCTCCTCCTTTCCCAGTTGAATACCCCATTTTCTGATTTAACCCTATCCCTTTTACCTCCATGGTTCCTTTCAATTTTCCTGGCCCCTGCAGGTACATCAGGATATTTATTCACATATAAGGATTTGGTGCTAAGATCCACAAATGAGGGAGAACAGATGTCACTTGTTTTTCTCAGTCTGTGTTACTTCACTTAGTGTAACAGTTTCTAGTTCCATCTACTTACCTGCAAATTTCATGATTCTATTTTTCCTTACCACTTTAGTAGAACTCCATTGTGATTTCATTTTCATTATCTAGTCATTGGTTGAGGAACATTTAGGTTGTTTCCATATCTTAGCTATTATGAAAAGAGCAGCAACAAAATGTGCAAGTATCTCTACAGTAGGATGAGTCCTTTGATTATATGCCAAGGAGTGGTGAAACTGTATCATATGATAAATTCATTGTTAGTTTTTTAAGACTTCTCCATACTATTTTCCATAGTGGTTGCATGAATTTCAGTCCCACCAGCACGGAATGGGCATTCTACTTTCTCCAGATTCTCACCAACATTTGGTGTCTCTGTTAAAAGTTCTTAGCCCATATTTTTATTTGGTTGTTTGTCACCTTGTTTCTATGTTTTTTGAGTTCTTTGTATATTCTGGATATTAATCCTCTGTCAGATGTGTGGCTGGTGAAAATTTTCTCCCACTCGTTGGGATTCCTCTTCACATCATTGGTTGTTTCTTTTGTCGTACAGAACTCACTATGTAGACAAGGCTGGCCTCGAACTCACAAAGATCCGCCTGCCTCTGCCTCCCAAGAGCTGGGATTAAAGGCGTACAGAAGTTTTTTAGTTTAATTTACCAATTGTTGACCTTAATTCTTGAGCAGCTGATGCCTGATTTAGAAAGTCCTTTCCTATACCTATACCTTGTAGGGTACTGCCTTTATTTTCTAGAAGTTTCAGAGTTTCAGGTTTCACATTGAGGTCTTTGATCCATTTGGAGTTGACATTTGTGCCATAAGATAAGGGTCCAATTTCATTCCTCTACAGGTGGAAATATGGTTTTGCCAGCACTATTTGTTGAAGATGCTGTCTTTCCTCAATTTTGTTCTTGGCCCATATGACAAATATCGAGTGGCTATAATTGCATGCACTCATGCTTGGGTCTTCTATTATGTTCCATTCATCTATATGTCTGTTTTTGTGCCAGTATCATGCTGTTTTTATGACTATAGCTTTGTAATACATAGTTTGAGATCTAGTATGGTGATCCCCCCAGCACTGATCATTTTGCCCAAGATTACTTTGGCTATCTGGGGTCTTTTTTTTATTCCATATGAATTTTAGGATGGTTCTTTTCTAGTTCTGTGTAGAAAATCATGGAGATTTTGATTGGCTTTGCACTGAATCTATAGATTGCTTTTTGTAGGATGGTTATTTTCACAATATTAATTCTACCAATTCATGAGCATGGGAGGTCTTTCAATCTCCTGGTGTCTTCCTCGATCTCTTTCTTCAAATATTTGAGAGGTAGCCCCATGAATCTAAGACCCAACTAGACAAAAATTCCAAATTAGTTGATGTACTTACCCATTTCATGTCTGGTGCTGGCCACACCTGAGCCATACTTTTCTAAAACATCTTTGACAGTCTTCATAGAGTCATCGTGTTTGACTGCAAGGCCAAGGTAGTTATAGGAGCCAAAGTTGATGACGTCTTTGAAGACTCTTCCAGTATACCTGTGGGGAGAGATGCCAGTGAACACAGAGGGTTATCTCATTTAATATCATTCTAGTGCCTGAAAAACCTCAGTTTGGTTCAAGCCTCATACTATCTCATTTTTAATTTGCACTGTTGCCTGCTTAAAATGTTCTTCATTAACCTGTGAGGTGAGGCAGAGCCTTGTTGAACTGGGAAAGTGTATTATTTGGCACTGATTTTCTGTGAATAGTTGTTTTTATGACACCCATGCTCTGGTTGAAAGTGCTATAAAATCTTATAGAGATGAGAAGTCACAGCCATGACTGTCTTCATCAGTAAGAAAGTGGGAGAGTATACTTTGTCAAGGAAGCTGGCAAGGGATCTTCAAAGCTGGTCCTGTGTCTTATACCTAATGACAAAGGTGTACCTTAATTATATTATAACGGAGGCACCTTGACAACTTAAGTACTTTTCTTTCATGGGCATCATGAAGACTTGCAAAGGGATGAGTGGTGGAAGATCAGCCTCAACTACACCTTGAGTTCTCCAGAGCTGTAACTTGGTGCCCATGCCAGAATTTCCCTGAAAGATTCTCCTTTTCCACCAACACACCCCCACCCGGTGGATCTCTCACCTGAATGTCCAGTTATAGTCATCACTCACTCTCTCCATAATGTCAAAATAAGGCCCTGGGGCACTGCAGATGGTCTGGTTCCAGCTGTCTCTGATTCTCATGTAAAGGTTTCTTGTGTAAAAATTCTCAAAGTCTTGATACAGTGGCACAAAATCCTGTTATAACAGAGGTAGAGGTAGAGGTAGAAGGCAGCTTTGGCCTTTTTTTTTCTGTCTTTTGGAGACAGGGTCTCCCTGTATCCCCAGCTGGCCTGGAACTCACTATGAAGATCAGGCTGACCTCGATCTCATAGAAATCTACCTGCCTCTGCTTCTTGAGTGCTGGCATTAAAGGCGAGCTCCACCACAGCTGCCTCTAGCTTTGGTTTTTGGAGATCTTTTTTCTTTTTCTTTAATGAGTTGAACAAATTTCAAAGTTTATTTTAGCACTAACGTATATATATATCTGATTTGAAGTAAATGTTTAAATATAGGAGACATCTAGTTTCTTTGAAATTTTAGAATTAGTAAAAGATATGACAACACTGAGGTGTAGATAATGAGTTTTAAGGTAAAACATCTGTACAGACTATATTTCTCTAATAATGTTCAAAAGAAATTTGGTTTACTTCTTCCTCAGCACACCTTATACAAGTATAAGTATTATGATTGTGAAATGAGCATTTAAACTCCTGTATAACCAATGTGCTATAATTAAAGTCAGAGAAATTGAGACTGAGATTTTTGTGATTTTCATACAATATATTTTGATCATTATTTAGATATGCTCCCATATCCACACCTCCCCTTACTACCTCCAACCAATTGAATACACTCTATTACACACACACACACACACACACACACACACACACACACACACACACACATATACGTTAAGGCCTATCAAGTAAGGTGAATCTTTTTCAAGGGTGTGACTCTTGGTAGGTTAACTAGGTTCTAGTGGATGGACCCACACTTAAGGACAATGTGATACAAATTGGAGATTTTTTTTTTTGATGGAGGGAACAGATGGAATTCTAAAGAATATGCTCCTAAGTAGGAGAGGAAAAAAATGTGGATTGGTGGCAGAGGTCAAGAATCTAGCTACTAGCTATTTAGGAGGATGAGCTGGGAAGAATGCAAATTCAAGGCCTGTCTAGGCTACAGAGCAAATTTAAGGCTAGCCTGGGCAACTTGATAAGACTCTGTCAGAAAAATAAAACAAAAAGACTGGAAAGGTATCTGTGATAGTTCGGATACATGGAGACCCAGGTTCAGTCTCTATAATGCCAAGAAAAAAATGTTGACAATGATGACAGGTCAATCCAAGAGCAAGTAGCAGAGACTGAGAATCCTTTCATTGTCCTCAAGAAGGAGGCTTTCCAACTGAAAGGGGAGGTGGTACTGATGCTTAAGCAGTTTAGCTGGAAAACAATTAGTTGAGTTGATATAGATATTAACTTGGTGTATAAATATCCCCATGCATTGCACTTTCAGAAGAATGGGTGGATGCAAATTTTGAGAGGATTCCTTACTTATCATAAGGAACTTGGTAGTGCCTTGCAGAAAAAGCCTGAAGACTGGGCTGGAGAGGTGGCTCAGCAGTTAAGAGCACTCACTGGCTGCTCTTGCAGAGGACCCGGGTTCAGTTCCCAGCACCCTCATGGTAGTTAGCAACTGTCTATAACTTCAGTTCCAGGAGATCCAGTGCCCTCTTCTGACCTCCACAGGCATTGTGTGATATGGGTGTGCTTGTATATACATGCAGATAATACACTCATACACATAAAATAAAAATAATAAGTAAATTAAAAGCTAAAAACTAAACCAAACCAAAATTAAAACCCAAACCTGAAGACCCATTGGAAAAACTGCTATTGGCAGGTGACTGTGACATAGTTGAGGGCCAGGAACTGAGCTGACTGGCTAATGGAGGGACCAGACCTCTCATGCAGCAAAGGTAACAGCTCCCGTTCCTGTCCAAAATGTCATTCATGACTACAAACATCTGTAATCAAGCTGAGGTTCAAAGCAAGTCATGTCTAATTTTATCATCTGAGTCATAATAGTTGATGCTAGGCAGAAAATGCACGAGCCATGCCTATGAGCCAAGTGAAGTACTTTGGCCATTTACAAGATTGAGTAGGAAAGAGAGAGAGTCATATCTTGCTGGAAGAATCAGGGAGACTTTATGGAGAAAGGACTTTGGAGGTGACATGAAGGCAGAGTGAGGGTATGATGAGCATGGATATGGAGGAGAACACCCCAGGTGAATAGATTTGGTTGTTGGAAATACAAAGTGTATTGGAGAAGAATGAGTAAGAATAAATCATCAGGTATATACTGTTACTCTTAGCTCAGAATTGCCTCCATTCAAAGTCAAAGTCAATGTCCTGATTCATTTGGCTTCTGATTACCTCTCTTATCTCACCCTCCCACTTTCCCTGCAGGGTGGATAAGGTTGCTGAGCCACTCTTACAAGAAGATAGGAAACTTAGGCAGGTGTATGAGGAGCTCAGACTTTATCCTACAGGCGGTGGGGAGCTATTGAAGAGTTGGGAGCGAGTTTTCTCACTGTTCTTGCCATTCTCTTTGAGCTCCTTGCTCTCCTTTCCTGTATAGAATGCAGCTGGCTTCTTGAGAGAGGATCATGGGAAAAATTTGTATAAGATCTTATGCTAGTGATTTGTCCACTAATTCCTTCAGTTGATCCAATCTAGAGGAAAATATAGGAAATATGCTGCTTTTGATGGCAAGTGGCTCCACCACAGCCATATCCCTTTCTGCCATTTGATTCTTTGGGGCTCAGTGACATTGGCATGATTCCTCATGGGGAGATTATGATTTTCTGAAAGAAAGGATGTTTATTAACACAACCTGGGGGAACTGCCTATTGTATGTAAGTTTACAACTCTGCTGGTTACATTTGAAACCTCATATCAAATGTATTTTCTCTAAATAGCTTTGATATAGGTTTTTTTTTTTACTAAATATATGAGTTTATGATAATGGATACTTTGTAAATTATTCTATATCCCCATGTGTTATTATCACTCTCTAGTTAAAGTCTTATTTGAAGTGATGCCATATAAATGTATCCTCTTGAGAGAAAAGAGAGAAGTCTGTAAGGAATATTTTTGAACTAATTTTTCAATTAATAGTTTTAGGTTTTATGAGGAATCTTGCCTGCACCAACCACCGGGGATGGAGCAGGCACACAGATCATCAAGCTCAATCACCCATTTGACCCAGGAAGAAAATCTCACACAGAAATTGGATTCTGATCAGCCAATGGCTTCTTCCATTGTCTCTGACAGTGACTTTGGAGCGATCTCGGACTTTTCAGCTTCCCTCTAAATCAAGCATGATGACAAAAAATCTGGACCACAACATGAGAGACCATGCGATAGCAGGTGTGTCTCTTAGTCTATTAAGCTTAGCATTGCCTGGAGAAGACAACCTCTGGTAACCCCATCTTCTGACTCTTGGAGGTACATCATCATAACCATCTGCTAGAAAATGGGAAAATATTTCACCTAGCCTAAACTTTCTGCCTTCTGATTCAGAGAACCAGAATTTACACTTATGTAGAGATGCGAGGCTGCTTCTTTATCTATATAAACACTGTGGGGCCAAGTTATAGAGTCTTAAACCTGTTCTATAGGTTTTCTCTTCAGAAAGATCTTTACATTCAGTGTTATAAATTAGGGACCTGTAACTTCCTTGCAAAAACGGAAGAACCAATTTTCTGAACACAGAGAGCTTTTCCTTTGGGCATGGTGTAAAGAAGTTTGGCAGCTTGAGTATTTCTGAGATAGACAGTTGGGCTTGGAACCCTTCTTAGAATTGAAGATTTGGTTTAGTGATGGAATGATTTTGTTTTGGGCATGAGTCTTCCCCAAACATGTGGCTCCCTGCCTCTGCATGGGTGTATTTTTACCCTCCAATCTTTTGAGTAGTAATGAACTTTTTTCAGAAGCAACCAAATCCCTCCATAGATCAACATCCTCTCCTCTCCAGCAAGCTTCCCACAGCAATTTCACTACACCAGAAAATGAAGTTAAATTTGGTATTTCAAAAATAGAAGCACTGCAATAGGATTTATCTTCCTCTATCTGTAGATTTTATTTGTCACTTGGCTTACTCAACTTTTGTTTTTCTATGTGACATTGATAGTTCAGTGCAACGGAGGCAATGAGGGCACAGTCATTTGGGAGAAAGAGTGTAGGAAAAGATGAGTTCAACCCAAAAATAATCACAAAATAACTTTGTTCCTTCTGCAATATGACAATTATTTTATTTTCTTTAAACTTAGATGATAATTTCCCAAGTATTAAAAGATGCAACTGTAGATGATAAATTGAGAGTCAAAAAATTCACTACATAAATTAGAAATTTCAACTAGTTCCCTAATCAATATTCTTTTTAATAAATCATATTTCAGGACCTTATAAAGTGAATAGAGCATATCTGTGGCCCACTGTAAAAATAACTGCCAAATTTGGAAACATACCTTTTCTTATTTGATTTGACTATATGCCTGCTTGTTTGCAACTGGGCCTGTAATCAATCGCCAGTGAAACTTCCCTGTGATTGTCCTATATCCAGACCAGGCAGAGCAATCGGAGCTCTTTATTTTTACTAACTTAAAAATATTTCCATATGGAACTAGAGTCCTACAAGCTCCTGGGACCCTGCTCATATGAACTTACAGTAACGGTGTCAGCATGTACAAGAGCCATGCAAACTCAAGCAGACAAAAACCCAGCATAGAACTGGGGAAATGAACAGCAGACCCCAATCTTAGCTGAAGAAATATTGGCAATTGATTGCTGCTGGATGAGGAAGAGCTGATCTTCCTAAAGCGAGGGACTCTAGATAACTTGTCTAGACCTCAGTAGATGAACTTGCACTGAGGAACATCTGGGGACACTAACTTGACACAATAGGCCTCAACACAACTGACAGAATGTATGAATTCCAGTGGGAAAAGGCTATGGGAGGGTGCCAGTGGGGGAATGGGATAGAAAGATGGTTAGGATTGATTGAGATGTTCTGTATGAAATACACAAAAATTCAATAAAAAACTGAAAAAAATTGCTGTATTTTTATTTTATGTGTATGCATGTATTATGGGCATGTATCCAAGTGTACCCGTGTTGTGCAGTGCTTAT